TAAGACTGAGTGAGTACATTGGATACTTTTTATTTTATTCTTGAGATACTTTGCTAAGAAGAATATGTTTCAGAAAAATATGGAACGCTTCACGAATTTGTGCATCATCCTTGCCCAAGGGCCACACTAATCTTCTCTGTATTGTTCCATGTGCTTACAGTATATGTGCTGAAGAAGCAAGCCGTTCCACTGGTTTTGATACACAAAATGGCAATTTCATGTAGTTCAACCTAGTGTTACCTAAAAATTAGTGGGTGGATCTAGACTAAATCTAGCTTGGCTTTGATGGCTTACCTGCTTTAAGATATGACAAAATGTTCCAAACTCACCTTTTATATTTCTTGCTCCAGGTTGGTAATCAGTATTTTTTAAAATTCTGATTTCTTTTAGAATGAAACAGTAGCTCGTGCCATGGGTGCTTTTGATATTTTAGTTTAGTCATTCCCCTTAGCACTTTTCAATGCACAAAAGTAGTGTATTTTATAATTTCAAGGTAGAATAAATAAATAAATATGTCCAAACTAAATGCAGATTTTACTCAAGTTCATTCATTTTATATCAGATTGCTGTTGAATCATGCTGAAAATTCCGGCTAACAATCAAGTTATTCATTTTCTTTACAGCATATCATATATAACAACACAAACATTAGCACTAAAAATGTAATTATTGCACAGAATTTATTAGGATCTCTTATTTATTTCCTTGCAGTTCTTTTTAACCAGAAGACAACATCCAAACAGGGATGTGTAGAAAAATTAGAATTTTATAGTTACGTGGTTATGATTGACAGCTGGATTCATGAGTCGATTATTTTATGCCACTTTTAATTTTTAGTAGCTTTTTGATTTTTGGAAAATAGTTCTGTAAATATGTATACAATTCCAAGTTCAGATCTACTAAACAAGGTAAACACATAAATTTCTGGTTTACATCCTTTTTATTTTACAGTTCATTGTTTCATTGCTTTTTCTTGAGATAAAATATCATACATACATGTTTGTGAATGTACCAACACACTAAACATACTCTCTCTCCATCTTAATTTTTTTCCTTTCAAAATGTACTTCAAGAGGATGCCATTGTTGTTTAGAATAATATTCCTCATTTCTTTCTATAGGGACATAGTGTACTATATGTCAGTCTCCTATTTATATATTTGCTGCAACAAATAGCCTTGTTTATTATATCTTTCTGATGTATTGCCACTGTATCTTTGGGATAGATTCCTAGAGGTGTAATTGTTTCATAAAATAATAAATTAATAGGTAATTTTTTTCTAAATAGTCTCAAATTTCCTTCCCCAAGAGTTATAGCATTTTGCATCCCCATCAGCAATGCCTGAGAAGTCTATTACCCCACAGCTTTGCCAAAAAGTGTGTCCCCGAACTTTTGGAATTTTGCCAATCTGATAGGTTAGAAGAGCTATCCTAGCCAAGTGTTAAATAGTTTTTCTCTTTCTATGAGTAACATTGGTCATCCTTTCAAATGGTTGAGAAGCATTCGTGCCTCTTTTTCTTTTTTTAAGAGACAGAGTCTCACTTTATCACCCTTGGTAGAGTGCTGTGGCATCACAGCTCACAGCTCACCGCTCACAGCAACCTCCACCTCCTGGGCTTAGTTGATCCTCTTGCCTCAGCCTCCCGAGTAGCTGTCGTGCCTCTTTTTATTCGAACTTTCTACTGTTTCATTCTTGGCATTTTCCTTCTCTATTCTTAAGGCATTCTTTTTTTCTTCTAACTTTTTAATTTTGTTTTTACTTTGCTTGCCTTAGTACATTGTAATTAATCAGTCATCTCATTAAAAAAAAAAAAACTAGTTTCTTTTATTGGCCAATTCGTTTCCTTGGGAATTGCTTTAACGATTGGCTTCCACTTCTTCTAGCAAAATACTATGAACACGGACTCTGGTTGCTTTTGTGTCCATATGCAGTGAGAGTGAGCTGAGCTTTATGGAATGTTTTCCCCTTGATTCATTTCGTGTTTCCCCAGACTTAATTCTGTTTTAAAGTTATGAGTTCTTCCTCAGATTTCCCATTACACATACAAACTGACGGGATTGGCGTTGGACAATTTAAGGGTTTGGTATTAATTATTTAGTTTTCCCAAATAATGAGCTGTTCCTCGGCAGCTATAAGCAATAATTTTGCTGTAAAGAAAGGTATGTTATCACAGAGAGGATTACTATCTGGGAGGCTCGTGTTGCTGAACAATTGCTAACAGAGCTAACACGTCACCCATGGGAAGAAAACAGTCCTGAGGCTTCCGGTTAATCTTCAGCAAAAAATTATCCTCCATATTTTCTTCTCCCTAGGCTGGGCATATTTTTCTTGTTAATTATCCTAGTATTGTCATACTCTCACTGCACTGAGTTTCATATTTTGTTTTTCCTTTGCAAACCATTTATTTTTGTACTTGAAATTAATGTGCAGTGCAGAGATAGAATTAATGGATCACACTTATGGCAAAATATGCACACAGTTCCCTTGTAGTTTGAGAATAAAAATATTAAAAGGATTTAATTAATTATCTGCAAATAAAACATTTATATACATCTTTGCACCCTAAGTGTCTCTACCACCACCTTATGAGAAGAACTTGAAGTCTAGTATGAGACGAAGACAAATCACACGCTGTTGTTTCTGACTTATGTTTTAAGAACATCTAAATAGGGAAACCCAAAGAAATGTTTACTTTCTTGAAATTTCAAAGTTTAGAAATCAAACAATTTTTGACTTTGCAATTGAGGTGGTACAGCTTCCAAAAACAGATGTAAGAAAACTGATTTTGGTTTTTAGCCTGATAATATGCTAAAAATTCTGAAGGTAATTTACAGCTTTCATGAAAGCACTTTATATATTTGACCATATATTCCTAAGGCTGAGATCGACACCATGGAAGAAGCTTTTTTACAAAGCCCTAAACATTTATAGTTACAATTCCTCTTCATTCATTTGTGAATTTAAAGAAAATAGAATCTAAAAATCTCACTGTAAATTTATAATTTCTATAATGAAAACTTTTGCTAGGATTTGCACTTAATTCAGTATTTCAATATCAGGTTATGTGGTAATCAAAATTCTGCATAAAATTATGCAAATTTTACTAATACTATGGTGAAACCTGTTGGAGAGGTACCGTGTCTGCTTTGTTCATTATTTCATCTGCAGTGTTTTGCATAAATGGCTGCCTTATTATGAGAGTCCAGTTCAACTCAAATGAGTAATTGGTTTGTTATTAATAATTATTAATCATCATTCTCAACTCTGTTCCAGGAAGTACATGACTTCTGATCATTTTTAACTAGTCTTTTGTTATTTATGCCATGCTCATTGCTGGGGCTGTGTTAACGTTCTTGTTAGATTCTCTCCACTCTGATCCTTGATTATTTCCTAAGACAGAGTTTTCACATAATATTTTAGGGCTTTCTGGTTCTAGACTTTAAATGACCATTTCTGCTCCTAGAAGTCCCACTCTAATGTTAGCACCTTGAACAGAAAGAACCCCTGCAAGGTTCACCCTTGTGACATATGAGAGTGTCAGAAAAATCTTGATAACTGGAAAGAACTATACAAGAAAAGTCTGTCCACAAACCAGAAAATCCCCTGCTGGTCTTAGTTGTTTTGTTTGTGTATTTTCCTTAACTCATGAAGACCTTATTTAATAGAGGTAAATGACACTACTTAACTTACAGTAGAATGTATTGATTTCCTTTGCTTCCTAGAAGGTGACCTCCAGGCAATTTTAGACTCTAAATTATAGCAAGGCCAACAGATATTATAGATTTAACTCAGCAGTTTGAAATCTATCAGCGAGTTAATTCCCACTTCCCTTTACAGTCCATTAAATACTCTATTTTTAATTGAAGTTATAATATTTATTTTCTCATTCTTACCTGTTTATGTATGCTACATTTCCTTGGTAATTTCTGTAGAGATTCATGCTTGTATTAATTTTTTTCCTTTCAATTATCTTTAGTATCTTTGTCCTTTCTTCAAGTGTTTTTGGATTTTTGTTTGAAATTGATTTTTTTAAATTTGTAATAAACTGACTTGAGAAAATGGAAAAGGTTCACACCTTTAAGTGAATCAGATAATCCAAGGTCTTTCTTTGTTCAGTATGAGATGAATATATCCTTGCCATAGAGGAAAAAGCTATAAACAAAATATTTGATCCTAAGATTCAATCAAACAATTGAAGTGTGCAGATTTACTTGCTTTCACTGTTAAAATTATCAGAATAAAATGACTATTCAGACTGTTGAACAGAAATCAAACACATACATGACTGAATATTTATAAAATAGAATATACTATGTACACTTGTCCTCAATTACAGATCTACTAATCAATTTCTACCTACAATAGTCAAATCTAATAAATTCAATTTTGAAAGATTTTATAAATGCTCTGAGTGTGATTTGTACCTACAAAGAAGAAATTACTTTTAGACTGATTTTTGTAATAATACAAGTTGAGCAGACCTTATCCAAAATTCTTGAGGCTAAGTGTTTCGGGTTTCCGAATTTGGAATATTTGCATAAACAAGATATAATGAGATATCTATCTTAAAGCTGGCACTCAAGTCTATACACAAAATGTATGTTTTATACACATGTATGTTTTATGCCTTATATACATGGTGTGAATGTATTATGAATAACTCTGTGCATAAAACAAAGTTTGTGTACATTGAGTGATGTGAAAGCAAAAGTGTCACTATCTCAGTCATCCAAATGGACAATCTGTGATTGTTTGGCATCACTATATTTCCAGGCTATGAATTTATATATGCTAACTGATAAGCAATTGCTTGCTTGCACTGTTTGCTTATTCTATTCACACTTAAGGACTTAACATAGAAATATGACATACCATTAACACAGTGAAAAAGTAATGTGTTCAGGGTAACTACACAGCACAACAGCATCAATGGAATATCTGTCAGCTGTTGAACAACAGCAACAACAGTGGCAGGCTTCTAGTCTCCACCTATGATGTTGTGCTTTGATTAAAAGGTTCCTGTATCCTCTATTTCATTTTTCTAGGTAAGAAGAATCATCAGGAGCTATTGAGGGACCACAAAATGGGTCCTCTAGGGATGACAAAGCTTTGTCAAAATGTTTCCTACAGAGTCTTCTTCGTCATTATTGATGGTTTTTGTCTTAAAAGTCTCTTCTGG